CCTTCCCACACCAAATATTGCCCACTCCTCACCACGAAATATTACTCTCTTAACCCTAAGCCACACTTATTATCCATGTTCTCCTGCTCCCCACTCCGTAATCTCACGTAGGGAGAGGAAGGACTCAAGAAAGAAATAAGAGCAGTCAACAGAGAACACCCTGTGTTACCCCTCCGCAGTGATCATCCCCTATCTTGTGGCGTCGGTCTTAATCCCCGGCTTCTTGACCCTAGGGTGATGCGTCAAGTTGCATAGGAACCCCCCCATCTATCCCCTAGGTGTGTAACTACTGACCTGTTTCCTATGACCTACAGATTTCTCCTCCCCGGCTTCCCGTATTCGTGCTCAGAACTTTGGGCTTGCCTACACTTTCCCCAAAGAAAGAGATGATCCCTCCCTAACGTCCTCGGCTTCCCACTCCCATAGGCCTCGCTGGGTGGCCCTCGGCTTAAAATACCGGGCAGTGCTTTGTTATGTTCCCCCCCGTTTAATTTTCCTGTTATGATTCCCCTTCTGTCCGCTCTTCCTTCTCTCCTTTCTAAAGATAGCCGGTTGTATAAATGGTGTCATAATCAACCGCCCGCCTCTCCTCCAATCAGAGTCAAAGTTATCAGTCCCTATGGCTCTTCTATCCTTCCTCAGATAGAATTCTATAACTAAGGTTTCTCGCCCTAGAACGCAACGCCTTCCGTCCACTGGGTTTTCTTCGTCTATTGAGAAGGACTCTACTTACTCCATATACAGCTACAGCTCCCATAGATAAGGCGAAGATGACCCCTCCAATCATCCCTAACAGGTTCCTCTCACTTCCCCCCCCACCTTCCCCTCCTAGTGGCACAGATACGGAGTCCCCCTTGGATGGAGGGGAGTCCCCCTTGGATGGAGAAGAGTCCCTTATTCTTGAGAGCAGATCAGCTACCGCTGACTTCATCCTATTCTCAAGCTCATCCAGTTGCTTCCCTTCCCCTACAGATTCCTGAATTACAGTATCAATACTCTGTCCATCTGAGAATTTTTCCTCCGGGTGTTCCGCTCTTTCCCTTTTCTCGCTTTCATATTTACAAACCAGATCCTTTATACCAGCATCCGTCCCTAGCACTTCCTCTGTTATTATCTCATATAAATCCCGCCCGGTTAATAGAAATTCTGGCTGCATACCCATCGGCCAATTATGCACTGTAAACCAGTGCCTCATTATATTAAGGGCAACATCCTGTCCTCCCCATGCCTTTAACTCATCGTAAAATCGCTGACAAAGTGAGCCTTGGTTCCCGAGGTTTAATCTTACTCCTGATCCATCCCTAGAAATGCCGCTAGCCTGCATTAATATACGAACTATTTCCATACACATTTGTAAGTCCTTTTGATTTGTCTGGCTCATATTTAGTTCGTCACTTTTAAGGAATGTCACCCATCTGCTCCTGTCTTGATCTATTTGACACTTTTCCTTCCCTTCTCCCTGTTTTATTAGATTCTTAAAGTCCCCATATTGACATTGGCCGCTCAGTAACTTCGTCTGATCAGTGTTGCTTCTCTCTAGATTATTCATCCAAAGTTCTATCCATATACATATATTTCGACTCATCCCATACAGATACCGGCTTAGATTGGGATCCCAGCTCTGCGTCTTTCTGTCATAAGGCCACTCTCTAACCTGGATTACGCCTTTTTCATCATTTTCTAATTGGCAGATTCTCAATTTCGACTTGGTAGAATCCGTACAGAACTTTCGCCTTTTTAAGAGGTCTCTAACTGTTTCTATATAACCGGGGAAGATAGAGGTGCCCATCTTTCATAATCTTATGCGTTCGTGTTGGAGTGTGGGCTGCTCTTAACCCTTCGCTTCTACTCTTCCAACTGAAACGGAAATCGCAACTTTCCTCCTCCCTTTCTTGATCCTGCCTCGTCTTTTGGGGTTGGCTACCTGGATCCATTCCTCATTCGTTGCGGTGAAATCTTGATGGCACTTCCTGCACTTTTGTTTGTTGACCTTGGACTAACGGGTTCCTGTTTCAGGCCTGCAGACTGCTATTTTATTTTCTCCCTGGACGCCTCCTGTTTTGGACTTAGACTGCCCTCCCCGGCTGTGACTAGTTGGCTGGCCTTTGACTTATCTGTTATGCGCTGTCAGTTGCCAAATACTCTCCTCTTACCGCTCCTCTCAGGAATATATGGGGGGTAGTTTTCAAACGGGAGGGTTCTACTTCTCTCTTTCCTCCCTCTTACATTCGTCGACTGAGCTCCTTTGTATCATTCGTGGCATCTTTCAGCCTTTACTATTCCTCTACTCTATCAGATTCTTTCCTTTTGCTCAAACTCTCCCTGTCGGGGACTGGAGATTACCGCCTCCGTAGTCTTATACCCTCATTGTTCTCAGTTTATACTCATCCTAGTCCTTGCTTCTCCTTTACGTCCTCTTCTCTCTGCTCTGTCACGATCTCATCCTCACTCGAATCTGTCAAGTCGTCCAGAGGCAGCTAGTCAGAGTCGCACTTATTTTGCTATAGCTCCTTCCCTCGAATGGCAAGTTAGCTCTGTTGCACTCGTCAACCTATGCTTCTTCCTCGTCATTATTATTATCTCCAGCTCATTCGTGCTTAGCCCTGGCTCCTCTTTGCCTTGCCCTCCTTCCAGCCTTAAAATTTCACCTCTCCCCCGAATTTTATAGAACTTAATGATATCTCTTCTATCCATCGAAGCTGGCAATGTCCTATTGTGCCTTTGTTTGTTAGGGAAGGGAGGGATTGGGGGTTTCTTGGAGGTTGCTTCGGCTCCTGATTTGTCGTTATGGGGTCAGTCCTGTATATGGGCTCTTATATTAATCTGATGAAAATGATTCCTCGGAATTATTTCCGCTTCTAATTTGGCTCTCCTTACTACTTCTACTCCTGTCAGCGTTTTCTTTGCATGGCCCTTCTTTGTATTGCGGAAATGATCTGGAAATGTTGGCTCCCGCTTAATTCTCTGTCGTCTAAACAAGAATCCTCCTTATTGGTGTACATCTCCAACTCATGCGCTGCCCAGGACACTCCCTATTAGTCGCCTACTAGTACTGCTCCTGACTTCCTGTTTGTAGCAATACTTCGTCGTTGCCTCGTCAGTTGCCTTACAAAACTGAGGGAGAGGGGGTCAGTAACCCCGCGTCGACTTGTTATACTGCTAGTGCTACTATTCGTTTGGTCCCCTCTTCCTTAGAATATTTGTCTGCTCGCGTGTCCATTACGCCTCAGTTAACTAGATGGCGCACGCCTCCTAGTGCAGTCGCTGGAGGTTACTCCTCTTTGCTTATGTCTACTCTACTGGTACTCAGGAGGTGCCGTCTCACTCTTCCTTAGATTCTGCCTCTCCCTCTCCTGGGTGTCCAGGCAGTGTTCGCACCTCTTCTTAGTGTGGAGTCTCTCCTCTCGCCTTGTAGTTGTTTCCCACCTAGTTGGGGAGGTTTCGCCTGAGACGAAGTGTCCTTAGCCTTCCTCTACGCTTAAGTATCCTCTACCCCTCTGAGGCCCCTTGGTTACTTTCTTATTCCTCCTCCTTTCCTGTCTGTTGTTCATATCTGACTTGTTCATTAACCATATTCTGTTTCTTCCCGGCTCCTTTTTAAGAGGAGATGTACTTAGGCATGGAATATCCCCCTTTACTTAGATCTCTTGATTTCGAGCCCTTGATTGGGATCTGAGATAGATTGGTGCAAGGAGTTCTCTCTCATCCTACTTGATCCCTTGCCTTATCATTCATATGCTTCGTCATCCTTCATTAGTCTTTTCGTCACGCTCATATTTATTTGGCCTCAGGACTACTTCAGCTGGCTGAGTATCCCGCCTACCTGGTCTGATGAGATGAGCGGCTAATTCTTTGGTTTATCCCCCCCTTTATTCTTTAACCAACTCCTGTAATGGGTTGGCTTTGGGGTTTTTTCTCTTTTCTATCTCTTCTTTGGGGCAGTTGCTTCCTCTCTCCTTCTGCAGGAATTCCGGTTCCAGACCCTCTGTTAGAGAAGACTAAATTATAACTACTCGGAGCTGCTCCTATCCCCCCTCCTGCTTCTGCATATTCGGGTTTTGTATCAACGCCTGCTAATCTTATTGTCTCCAGCTGCCTCCTCCCTTATAAAGATTCTGGTGGGGGGCAGTCCTTCTTGTGATTTTTGAGTTTTGGTAGCTACAGATTTATTTTATGAGCTATATTCATCTTAAGAAGTTTGCTTTATAGACCACTTTTGTTGCTCCATCTTCCATTTATTATTCTAATGGAGACATTTTTCCTTTGCCACCTATTTTTACGTAGAGCTGAATTCTGCTGCACTTATTTCTATTCCCATCTCTTGGCCTTATAGTGGACTCAGGTAGTAGTCTTGTTTGGTTATTCCTCCTCTTAATTCTTCATATGCCTCTCTATTTCTCCGCAGTTGTTTATTCAGTCTCTTTTATCTGTCAACTTAGTGGTGCTTGTACCATACATCTACCCTTAGGAGTGGGATTCAGGGGGGTTTGAGGCAGATATTTGACGCATAGATAACGCCTGCGCCCACAACAGTCTCATTTGTTCTGTTCTTTCCTTTTAACTGTACTACTCTTTAGATCCACCTCGCTCACTCTCTGAATCTTTTCCTTTTTCTGAATGGAAACAACTGCTGGGTTGGATTTCTCCCCTATCTACATTCTAGAGTTTGATTTCCTCATCAGAGTTTCAGCCTATGGACTCCCCGCGCCTCAGAGCAGATTAACCCCTTAGTAATTCTAGACTCCCTTTGGTGTTATACTCACACAATTGTGTTGTCTGTAATAATGATCCCTTGCTGGTTTCTTCCTAGTATCTATATAGGAATCTTCCTTTTTATTTAATGAGGGACTATTTCTACTATGCCTCGGCTTGCCTGGTTCTATACTATTTCTATTCCTTCTCTATTTAGTGGCGTGTTTTATCATTACTTATTCCACTCGGCTAGATGGCATTATGCTGTGATTCTCTCCCTTCTGCTGTGTGTTATAAGATTCTTCTCCTTCTGAGCTTCTTTGCTGGTTCTTTACTCAGGGAGGTTGCCCCTATTTGTTCAGTAATATTAGATGTGAGGCTTAATTATATTCATAGTACTTCGCAGAGGTATAAAGCCCCTAGTGGGTGAGTAAGATGGGGGCCTATTCCTCTCTTGGGTTTCTATACCCCTATTATTAATAAAGCCCCCCGCTCCCTCTGGAGGTGGTATTTCTGTTTGAATTTTAATTGCCTCTTGGAATTCTTGGCATCCTGTCTCCTCCCCCATTTTGGCTGAGTCTGAGACTTATTTCTTCATCACTTTGCCTTATTTCTCTTTCCTCTTGTTCCGCTGTCCCTCCTTCTCGTTTTAGGCAATGATTCTCCCTGCAAAGAATTCCTACTACAGTTCTCATACTTCAGGTGTTGTTGCCTGTTCCATACAGGTTTATCTTGTCACTTGGTTACTACTCTTACTTTTCTCCTTTCTCGAATTATGGTTTTAGCTCCTATTGTTCTTTGCTGAATACCTGAGAAAGATAGTTAGATGATGCTTTTTCCTTCTCCGTTGTCATAAACTTCCTTTATCGTTTAACTAAATGATCATCTTCTCCCCTTCTGTTGTCACTTAATGGTTTCTCTTACTATAGGATTCGTTATTTCCCCTTTTTATCACTTCTTTAATTCGCCGTACTTCTAACTTGGTTTTATTTTTCGCTGTTATTTTTGGCCTTCATGTATTACTTAGTACTATTATTGTGGTAAAATAAGATCGGACCCCTTCCATTACCTTCCTTCTTCCATAAACTCCTTCTCTCTTTAATGGTACCCTCATATGGCGCCCTGTCACTTGCCGCATCGGGGGTACAGTTGCTGGTAGTTGGAGCCTTCTCATCTTCCTTTTGGCTTCTTTAGGGGGGTGAGGTTCTTATCCTATAATCTACGGTTGAGATTTATCATGGTTATTAGTTGTACAGTTTACCCTCTTTTACTTCCTGTTTGATTAATATTAAGGGAGGAACATTAGTATATGGAATTCAGATACTTACTTCTTTTTTGACTCTTGGTCTTAAGTTTTCTTCTCTCCCTTCCTTCTTTCTCCTTCTCGTTAACTTGTTTGTGTAATTGGTTATTAATTTTTTCCTCCTATACTGACTTGATCAAGTCTCCTTTTTCCTTATTTATATTAGTCCATTTCAAGTACCGGCACGAAGCTGGATTAGTCGGGAGGTTGGGGTCTTTTGGGAGACCATTGCATTTTTTTGGGTGTCTGCTATAGAGGTTACTTGAGGTTACATTACCGTTACTCCTTAATATATCTTGTCCTTCTTGCCATTACTTACTCCTAAGGATAGAACGACTGTTCCACTCATTGTCGGTGGAGAGGCAACACTAATTTCACACTTTTGATTTTTTTTCTCTCTTTCTTTCTCCTGTGTAAAATACTCTTCGGCTACTTCTACTGAATCTCCTCATAAATGCACCAACTATTCCCCTTAAAAGTCTATCCGTCCTCGGACGGGTTAGGACGTCCGAGATAATATTATTCTGGTTCATTCTCTCTATTTTTCCTTTTTGAATCACGTCCTACTGTTATACGCCCTCCCCATACTTATGATCTATAGGGTTTGGTCATCAACTTACGACTACCCCTTCATCAGTCCCACCTCTATTGGGGATTTCACTATACCAGGATACTGTTTCATTCTCTCTTGTCTTTCTTACCTGTTGTAGGGCCTGAGTTCCTGCCAATCCCTTTTGGATACGCAGTTGGGCTCATTTTTTCCCTTTAAGTATTCCCTATACCGGCTCTTTTTT